CGGTAGGTTAGGACTGCCTCATTGGAGACGATGCCGGTATGTTTCATTCGAACGGCGATTTTAGGCAAAAGTACTCAGACATCACCCCTTGTTGCTTGTCTTCCACACTCGTAGTCTGGTATCCACAAGCATGTGGGAGGACTGACCGGTTGGGTGCCCGATACCCAAAAGAGTCTGTTTGTGGTTCATAAATCCTTCCTAGAAACTACGAAAACCACGTGGGTACGCAGATTCGGGAGATGATGTTTTTTGAATTATTGAAAAGTCTCCACTTGGGAGCTGATGTTTATTAATCCCATTGATAAATTGTCTTCTTAGTCTCCTATGCAACTCCCACATACCTGTGGATAAATCAGATGATTCAACGACCTCATTAACTTGCGACATCATAATCTGTAAATCCGTGTGCTTCTGCCTTGCGTAATGAAGGCGCCTTGCATGAGAAATTTAAGCTATAAATGAGAGGGATATTCCGGTCATTGGACTTTGGGTATTGGAAACATCGGCACCACGCGTCAGCCTGCTATCATAGACCCAACAAGGAAACCTTGAACTGGCCAGTCTGGCCATTGTGTCTACCCATATGAGGATCGTTTAAAAGCCAAGTTTGAACGTACGTGTGAGTAGTAAACTATCGGTGATGATCGGCGTTTTCGGCCTAAAATTACGCAGAAGTACAAATCAGAGTTTTAAAAGTCGAAGAAACTGCTGCTTTTCTAAAAATAACACTATCCCCAATCTTCTCTCATTTAATTTCAACAGACTAAAAAATATAGCCTCAGAGACGTGGCGATTGTTTGGTAAATCTTTTCTCTTTAAAGTAGTGCCGCCTATTAGAGAAGCATGCACAATTTATTTCCTCCCAAAATTGTCAATTTGTCCGTGAAAAGTAGGCATTGCCCAACACAACGAGTTGAGCTAGTAAGTAAATAGCAAGACTTTCAAAGCGCTGTTAACTTATAAACTAGATTTTGAGCATTCCATTTTACATCACCGCTTGCTCTTTGCTCCCCTTTTTTCCATAGATAAATTTTGCCGAACCTGTTAACTGTAAGGCGTTATGTGTCAAGAAGTACCCAGACCAGTCTACCCCGTCCGTCTCGGCCTATAATGACCTGCTTAGTGGGATCAAGAGTTTCTACGACCGGCATTGGTAAGTCCTTTCTTTGTGAGCTGTTTCCCTTTGCTCTTCCAGACTTGCACGAATCTTTTCCGTTTGTTTGAGAAGCTCGTTTGGCGCAGTATACTTCTAAGTAAAGAAGGCTAAGGCTGTTGTTTCGCCAGCATTATGTGTTCATTCGTTTGAACTTCCAAACTCTTGATATAGTCCATCGTCAGAGATAAAAGCGGTGACAAAAAAAACAAGCAACAGTTATATATTCATCTAAATTTTCAAACTCTTCATATAGTTTATCGTCAGAGATAAAGGCGTTGACAAAAAACAAGCAGCGGTTATATGGGAGGTGGGGACCAATCAAACACAAATGACACCAGACCGGAGGTAACTATGTCGGTATGTTGGTGTCAGTCGATTAATCAATTGACTGAATTCTCATCGGAAACCGGTAAGGGCGAATTTTATGGCCTCCTAGATGGGAGCAGGAACCACCCAAATTACATCTGACTGTGCTCCGAGGAAAGTAGGTTTGGGATTAGGATGGGGGTTAGGGTTAAGTTTTGGTTTTATGTTTAGTGTGGGGTTTAGGGTATCGAGCAGTCACGCGTACTTCAAACCCAGTGATAACAACTATCAAGGCAGTACGGTACTGTTAAGGAAAAAATAGTAAGGGTTAAACAATATACAGACATCACCAATGGATACACCAAGTTACTAGCAAAGGAAGTCGGCCAAATTGCCTGACTCTATACAGCGGACCAACACAAGCTCAACAATAACACCACGCAGGGCGAAACTAGTCTTAGCGAAGCTTGTGTGTGTGTGTTAGTGGGAGAGGGAGCGTGGCCATTCCTATGGCCTCAGAATTGGTCTGAAAACACCAGCGCGAAGTGAGGGCGTGGACGTAAACAGAGGCAATACTGTGCCGACAAGGAGGGGGATTGCAAGCGTTTGAGGTCAGCGGTGGTGACAGCTGTAATCTAACGAGAGGGGGAGGGGGAGGTAGTATCGAGTAGCTTTTGAAACAGTTGTCTCTTGATGCAGTGGGGGAGGGGGGCGGAATCATTTTGGGAAAGACGAAAGGGTGGTAGGGCTAGTATTCAAGTACCACTTGGCCGGGGGACTAGTTTTAACACCATTGTGCATTCGACTGGAAACAAAGAAGTCAACAGGAGCAGAATTCTTAGAGGAAGGGCGCTCGGGCACGCAGTTCAGAGGACGAGGGAAACCGTCTTTCGTAAGAGGGAAGCAATTGGAGTTGGTCTAACAGGAAGTCACTGGAAATGGACATGGAGAATTTCCAACTTGTTTAACTGGAAATAACAGTTCCATTTTAATTTTATGTTGAGGTTAAGACGCGAGGATATTTGCCCTTCCTGTCATTTATCACAACCGCATGTGTTAAGTTGACAAGCTTGATTCCCAGTTGTTGCACTCAGCGAATACGACTTTTGACCTGTTTCTCGGCCCGTTGAATACGAAAAAGTAAATAAATT